TGAGAAATTACATTCCCCCCAGGGTTTGATAACATTGGGGAAAATGTTACTAATGTGATGACTTCATTTACTGATTGAAGAATGTGCTCCTAGGCATACGTGGAAAATTCAAAATGAGTTCCCCCCCCGACAACATTATAAGTTCCCAGAGTAAAAAATTCCGAAAAATTTCAGGAAAAGTTCTTGTTGATTCCTGCCGAATTTATATGTATTTTTTCACAATCATTTATGAAACTTCTGATTTCAGATCCGGAAAACAAACATATATTCCACCTTGGGAAATTCTTTTCGCTACTAGTTTTTTCAAAAAAATTTACTTTTTTTCCATTATAGATTCCTCGATGATTTCCTGCTTGCCCGCCCTATACTACAGTATCCTCAATATTTTGTATCCTCATTTTCAACGGTCGGCCCTCTTCCTTCAGCTCTTTAATCGTTTCCTCGTGTTTTTCGACTTTCACATGTGCCTTTCAAAACTACACATTCCAACATTCATCGGAGATTTACTATAATGGCTTTTCACCCTAGTGATGTGAAAAACATATTTCACGACTATAACTATATCAACGCTAATTTCGCCACTTTCACCGAGTCCAATAACAAACACATATTATTCATTTGCGCGAGAGAGCTAACACCCATAAAAGAGTTCTTTGAAAGACTCATTAAGCACGGATGAATCAGCAGTAATTATGAATTCGTTTTAAAGTGAAGTGGTGTGATACTCCATGTAAACAATAAAACGTATATGTTTCCGCGACCGATAAAATAATTGTCCTCCGTGAATTGAATGTGAATTGTGAAATGAGTTTTTCACATCACCGCTGAAACTCCAATATAAATATCGAGGAATACGAAGACGCCGTGAGATTTTACCAATTCGGTTTTTCAACCAACTTTTGGCCGAATTTTTGACCAAATCTTTACCAATTTTTCTACCAGTTTTTGTACCAATTTTCTCCAGATAACCACTAATTTTTACCAACATTTTACCAATTTTTTCAACCAACAGCCCCCCCCCCTCCCCACTACCTTTTTAATTTCCTTTTTTTCATTTTCGATCGCTGTTTTGATTTTCCCCAACTTTTCCAAATTTCTCGCAATTTCTTGGGCCAGCCTTTCCGGTTCTCTCTAAAAAATATTGCAGTTTCACGACCCGTTCCACGTAAAGTGGCGTTATACTCAGTAAAACGCGATGATATTCGCGGTGATATGCAGTAGTCGTGGAATATATTTTTCACTAGTATTTTTCATATCACTAAGGTGAAGCTTCATTAGAATTGCATGCATATCAATTATTATTACTTATCGGAGCTTCACCCGTTTAACGTGAAGTGGCGTAATACTCCATGTGAGTTATACTAAGTATATGTTCAGCACTTGTCCGATAACACAAGTGAAATGTGAAACATATTTTTCGCTGGTTTTTTTCATAGCGCCGATGAAGCTCCAATAATCGTCATCACCACTATGGAGCTCCACCCGTGATATGAAAAAAAACACTAGTGAAAAATATATTTCGCGTAAAACGGGTGAAACCCCAAACACGATTTTCCCTACCCCAATTCTCTCGAATTCTGCCACAGCTTCTTTCAAACCATCCTTTTCTATCTTCACCTTTTCCTTCAATTCTGCCATTTCCTGACGAAGCAGAATAATGCATAAATATTATTCACAACCCGAATGCGTTTTATGTGAAGTGGCGGAATACTCCATATTAAAAACTCCAGTTATGACAACATATTATACTCCATATTTACACGTAGTGAAGTGAATGAGAAACCCTCCAGACAATTTCACGTGTTTTACGCGTTATTCACTCCTCACATGCATTTCCCGAGAAGTGAAACGTCAAACATATTTTTCACTAATTCAGTGTTTCGCGTGATTTGTCTCCTTTTTCATAACGGCTCAAGCATTATTCGCAGTTCAGCCAGTGTTGTGCAAAAAAATTCTAAAATTTTCCGGAATTTTCCGCGAATTTTCGGGAAAAAATACCTGCTCCAGCTCTTTTATTCCAGCCTCAACCGCCGCCTTTCCTTCCCTCGATTTTGACAGTTTATTAGAAGCTTCACTCGAGACTGAAAAAATACAAAAGCCAATTCTTGTATGGAAAATACCGCATTAAAAAACGAATCGGAATTTCCGCAAGAAAATTGCAAAAAAATACATTTTCCCTAAAAATTGCAGAAAAATCTCGACCGTAAAATCGCTCAAAAAATGACATACATGAAATTCCAAAATGTTCATGTTTTATTCCAACCACAACTAAAAAAGAAAATATCATTTTTGCAATTGCTAAAACGATGATGCAGAATTTCCACGCGCCACGAAATTTTTCCCTCTTTTTTCCCAGTCCCCCTATACTAGTACCACTATTCAGCTTTTCCACATGCTGCTGGAGCAGACTCCTTTCATAAGCCTCTTGATCGTCCATATCTTCTTTAACCGAAACGAGGTCGTTGGAGACCTCCAACGCCTGTAACAAAATCTTTACAACTATATCGAACAGAAAAAAATTATGGAGTTTCACCCGTTTCACGTTAATTTTACGTAAAGTGGCATGCCAAGACACCATGTAAAAGCGCGATATAAAGTGAACTGAAAACGTTTCGCGAATTACACAGGACATATCACGTGTGAGGAAATGTTATACACAATTGTCTCCTGTAATTTTGGATTCTTGTGACACTTGTCCCCCTTGCCAGCCTTGCTGTATACTTAATGACTACTATATTAATCATAACGTGTGTTACCCACGTGTTAATAACTCAGTTATAGGATCAAACCACCTAATCCTAACACCACATAAACACGAACATGTCGTTAACTGCTCACATACGTTTACCCCCAGATGGAATGTAAATATGTAACTTACCGTAATACTCCAATTATCACGATAATCTCAATTATAACTCACCACCTAATGTGAATTTTTGTATTTCACCATCTATCCGTAATATTGCAGATACTCTTTTTTGCCGAGTGAATTGTAAAATATGTTTTTCATATCAGTAATCAAGATTTGAATCAACAATCCTAAAACTAAGAACAGTTCATCTATAATGCTATAATGACATTAGAATTTTCTATATACTTTCCCACATTTTTCCAGACTTGTCACTAAAATCGCATCCCAATCACCTGCAACATACAAACCGCCTCCTTCTCAGCAGCCGTTTGAACCTCCGTCGTCAATTCTCTCAAAGCTGATTTCATTTCTTTAATCGCTGCAACATCGTCCGCTTGCCCTATACTCAGTTTTTCAACCTAAAATTCACCAAAAATTCACGTAAAATACAAAATTCACCAGGGATAAAATCACATAACCATAATTTGCACAATTCATAAAAATTACACATAATAATAAATTTTATTCGCCACTGCAGATTCGAATTCCAAAGATGCTAATTTTAACTCCCTTGATCGTCACGGCATTTATCATCAATTTTTCATCCCTAAAATACTACTGTCTCCGGAAATTATCAATCTGCAAGAAATGAAAATTTTGGTATTATTTTCTTGAGAAATTTCTAGAGCTTTTTACACTCAATTTACTGCGAATTCTTCCGACTACCATCGCACATAAAACTCGGCCGCATAAACAATCGCTACCTTGATCATTCCGACCGCATCACATCATCGGTACAAAATAATAAATTTACCAAAATTTTCTTAGAAGCGTAACTAGATTTACCCCTTTTTCAGATATTATTTTCTTTGGATGCATGAGAAAACTTTAAAACTTTTCACACTCAATTTTCTGCGAATTCTTCCAACTACCATCGTGCGTCCAAAGCGGCCACAATATTACCTCGATCATTCCCTGTGTTAATTCAATATTCAACTCCTTCGCTTTCCTCAGCAACTCATTTTCCGAAGCGTAACTACGGGCAGTCATCGAAATCAATATAGAGTAACGCAAAAAATATAATCACTACTGCACCACCCTCGTAGTACCTTTCTGCTACTGCGCGATGCAGTTTGTCATACTCATTTTTATATTTCTCCTTTTCCTCCTCTGTAAGAGATCCTTTTCTACACAAATCCTCCAAAATTTCAACCGCAACAGAAGTGCTCTCAGAATTCGACATCGTTAAAAACAGTCTACAATTTAATTGAAAACTTTAAACGCAAACACAGATTCTCATCCAACACGCATATGAAACCAATCCGAATGTCAACATGCAGATTTGCGGTGAAAATTTATTTTTCCACCACTAAAGAGAAAAACCAAGAAACACTTACGGACTACTAAAATGGCCATCACTACTCGCTCGAGTAGAATCAGTAACAACCGAAAACGCATACCGCGATCCGATGCTTTCCCGAACAGAAACGCTACTCCTTCTGCGATGCAAAGGAGGGGTATCTGATATAAAGCAAATCAGAATAAGAATTTTCAGGAAAAAGAAGAAATTTTTCAGGAAATTCTAGAAGAATTTTCAGGGGAAAAAAGAGGTATCTTATAAAGTAAATCAGAAGAAGAATTTTCAGGAATTTTCAGGAAAAAGAAGAAAATTTTCAGGAAATTTTAGACGAATTTTCAGGGGAGAAAAGAAGGGGTATCTGATATAAAACAAACCAGAAGAAAAAATTTCAGGAATTTTCAGGAAATTTTAAAATAATTTTCAGGGGAAAAACTCACCTTGAAGAGACACAACATCACTGCTTCTGTCCGCCAAAACCATCATCACTCGTAGGGCAATTTGATCGAGCATCTCTCTAACCTCATCACTCACGTATTGGTAAAAGTCCTCAGGAAAATCCAATTGTATCTGGGGGGAGAAATAAAACCATAAAAATGATATTGTTCAAAAAATTGTATATATACAGTGAGTGTCAATTTCATATGTAAATTTGAAAAAAAAATACGCGATATTTTCCGAAAAAAATAATAAAAAATTTCATAAACAACATGAACACTACTACAAGAATTTAGCCCTTCAAGACTGTGATAGCGATTATTATATCTCAATTATAGAAGTTTTACGAATTCGACTAAAACTGTAAAAAAACCACCAAAAATTCCCCGAAATTTTCCCGGAATTTTCATATTATCACCAACACACGTATTACCACCACACCGATAGAAATGGGAAAAAATTTCTGAAATTTTTTTTGAGCCCACCTCAGCTCGCACGAGACTTTCCCCATCCTTCACCCCCTCGTATTGCTGTAAAAACATTTTCTCCGCAAATTCGGGCGGATCGCCGTATTGGAATGCCATTACTCCTAAAGAGGTCAAAATTGACGATATTTTCAGACGAAAAAACGTGGCCTCAGGAAATTATCACGTAGTTGTGCCATTTTACTTCATATAATCGTGCGTGAAATATTCACATTCTCATATTTCTTCTACGATTTTGAATAATATGATCCCACATTAGTAACATCACCTCCACGAAAAAATGCTGAATTTTACATTTAAAATTTTCAATTTCGAATTTCCCTCAGAAAAAAGTTACCAATCAGAAATTACCAGTTTTGGTGAGTCGAAACCATCTCCAATGTGAAAGCGTCGATCCTCGCAAATTCATCAGCGTGAGGAACAGAGGGGTTTCACCAGCAAGTTGGTTCAACTAACACAAAAACAAAATTATTTATACACTTTTCAAATCTGTTGAAATATACGCTCACTTTTCCCAGTTCAAATTCGCGTAAAAGTGTACAGAAACCAACAAAAATTTCCGAAAATTTCGTCAGTTGAGCTCAGGAGTTTACATACGAATTCGCGTAAAAGTGTACAGAAACCAACAAAAATTTCCAAAAATTTCCGAAAATCTCCTCAGTTGAGCTCAGGAGTTTACATACGAATTCAGGTAGAAGTGCAGTACAGAAACCAACAAGAATCTCCCCAAAAAATCCTCGCAGAATTTTCATACTCACACGTAGTTGACCATGTGCATATTTTCTCCCAGACTTACACAATCGATATCAGACCATTGAAGAACTACTTCCATAAGCCTCTCACTCTCCAAACATATCTTGACAAACTCCGCGCAGCCCATGGTTCGAAAACGGACCTCATTTGAATCTTTCTTTTCAACCAGTAAGATACCACCAAGATATAAACACTCCAACTTAGACGATTCGAGTACATTCCGAAGCTGCTCAGGAGTCGCCTCGAACGGTCCGTCGACTAAATCGAGGAGAATCAAATTCTTCATAAAAGGTAAATAGTAGCACTGAGGAGAGCATCCGGTCAACGACAGTGATAAAGTAGTCACAGTAGAGGCGTTGTTGGTGAGCAGTCGGTGAAAGAGGAGAGAGAATTCTCCCTTGTAAGAAATTGTGGTCAGGAAAGTTGCATAAACCAAAACGTCCATAATCTCATCCAAAGGCTCGACAATATACACTGAAGTGAGATTTTTCAACCTGAAACAGTGGCATGATTCGGACCTAATCCGTATCTTACCAACTTCAACCTAAGATACGCCCACTTACCCGTGCTCAGCACTTTTTCTCAACAACTCCATCAACCATCTCTCCAATGGTGACACTACTCTCAACACGCTGAGATGATTCAAGTAAACGTTGAGGGGCTCCAAAGGGACCGTACTAGAGTCTACTTGATAAACCGGCTGAGAAGAATAAACGGGTAAAAAATACACAAATCGGAACGTTTTTACCCAAGCGCCGTTGGAATCGACAAGGCATCTCAAAAGCAACGATGTGGACAGCCCTATGCGATAGGTCTCTCTGAGAAAGTTGAAGCTGCATATTTTGTGTAGTAGCGCGGAGTTGCACAAAACCTGACCTAATCCGTATCTTCCACGCTCAACCTCAAGATACCTTTCCAATCTTCGTATCAGGGAACCTCACAACCCAAATAGCCCTCAGTAGAGCATCTTCTCGTTCGACCAAGCAGCCTTAGCCTTCCGAATCCCCTCCAACTCTTCAATCAAGATATCCACGTCACCCATTTATAGTAATAACAACAATAGGATCACCACGAACCTTACACCCATAATCGATTAGAATGGCGCGCGCTAATAACAGCTACGGACATAATCGATTTTCTCGTTTGAGAGTCAGTGAGAAAGGGTGCCCTACGGGTCGCAATAAAGGTTGAAGTGAATTGAGTAATGATGTCTGATTATTAATATACGCTCCGAAGCCTCTTTAGAGAGCTCATGCGGAATACCTCAACTCCTACTGAACTACTACTCACTCGACGAGACCTTAGTCATGCATCCTTAACACCTCCCACGATTGGCCTATTCGGTTGTTACATCCTCCCCACAGCGATCGGGTCACCGAGTGGATTATTGTTCAGTATTATCGTTAGAGCTCTCTTCAGTAGGAATCCTACTTTTCCCGTGTGGCACAAATTCCTACCTCACATCGACGCTTGTCCATAATTTCACAAACATTGGTTATAAACTTCTACCCGCGCGCTACTTTTCGATTTCCCTTAGATTGGCTGGGAAATGGGTTAAAGAGAAGTGGGGACTGAGGCTTCTGATTCGAATGAGCGATAGAATGAATCAAATCGGTAGTTGACTTGCATCTCAGGGGGACGTATGATCCTCTATAGGGGAGTTGTTATCTTTGACGGTCCTTGAAGCATCCTATACTGCTTTGTTTCCTTCACCTCATACCACCGAGGAGTTGACGGGATCAAACGCGACATTTGGCAGAACTCGGATAACATGTTTTCCTAATCACTATTATGCATAGTGTCACAGCTTTTTATCTTGATAACGGTAGCAACGGACGTGATGGTAGTATCTTCATCAACACCTAAGATGAACAATAATCACAAGTATATCAACAAGTCTCGTAATTATCACATAATGTGACGATGATGAGGGTTATAACAAGTGATTCACATCCCCACATCAATTGGCATGAAACGACGGAATACTAACTGTTCGCAAGCAATAGAGTGCTTCATATTTTCCCACAATTTTAACACAAAAGCATGTAAAACTCACCCCAGTTGCAAGAGGTTCTCATAGAGTACTATATTTGGACAGTACGACATTGATGAGATGCTCATCCTTACTACATAACCTTATAGTGACGCTGCCCGAGGCAGCGAAAAAACATGTTCGCTACTTATCGGTCAGCGATAAGTTTTTCTTGGTCAAGCCTACTTACGTATAACTCCTGTGATGCGAGCGCACTGCGATGACGCTTACCGCCGATATGCTGCTGATAGTCCCACTCACACTGCAGGACGATTCCACAGACATCGCAAGGAAGCATGTTCACATGACGCCTACCATCAACATGCATCATGAACTCCAGTTCGGTGGACTTCACATAAACCTGCTGCTTGAGCATGACAATTGCCCAGAAGATTCTCCTCGGAGAATGGGCCGACTAGGGCGATACGCCATCATGATCAGCCAAGGACAAATCCTGTAACCCTCCCTGGGTACCCTGATCTGGAGACTCCAGACCAAGTTTGCACCCAGAATGGAGTGCGGGGGAGAAGGGTCCCACTTGGCCCGATTTCTGACACCTAAATGCCGCAACTTGGAGATGGAAGTAACCTTGTAAATGGTGTCGGCGGCAATAGCTCCACCTAGGTGGTGACCTGATCACTGTCTTGAAGTCCTTCCATGATGGTACTCGATGTGTAGCTGCTACACTGTAGCATCAGCTCGGCCTAGGCTTCACACCGAGTCAAGGTGATGCGAGAGACATCTTTCGCGAGATCTCCTTCAGCAAAACTAATACCGCTCGAATGACCCTGAGCAAGTCCTTCGCTCTCTTTACGGCGTTTGAGCCGGGTTATAGAGCAATGGCGGGATTGGAAGTACGATGCCAGAATATACTGAATAGCTCCAACACACTGAGTTGAAGTTTTTCCCATGCATTCGGAACAGCCAACACTCAGATAGTCACGCTTCCAAACGGCCGCAGTAAATAACGTTGCTGAGACCAATATAGAGCCTCTGTGGCTCATCGGAAATCACTAGCAATCCTCAACGGTCCGATCAAACTTGCTACAGATTCAATTTTCGATTCCGTTTGTACTCACCAGAGCACCACACGTCACACTACTCCGAAGTAACTCACGAATAATTCAATTTTGCATCTCTTTCTATTGCAGTAATCATCTGTATCATTGCACCACGGTCAGTTCCGCGATGACGTAGCCAAGCCTGAAGGTCGGAAAACGTCTGATGAGACTAGTCTTCATCCATACCTTACTTCCAGTGGTGGGGTATATGCTCGCTCTCCTCAGCTAAGATCAGAGGTTTCCTCATTTACTATGGAAGTTAACATACGAACTCGAGCAAGCAATAATTTCCCAGACTTTCCTCGGAACTTTTATATTGTAACAAACGCACGTAGTAACCCATGTACTTTTCCACACTATTCACACAGATAGAGAAACATGCGAGCCGAACTACTTCATGGCGATTCTTTCCTTCACTAATTCTGCGTATCAGTTCAACGAGCGGTAATCGGCTTAGTCGTCGTCTCAATACAATTGTCGGTTTTACTTTTCTAATCTACCTAGCTCACAGAGACGGAATTATGTAGATCAACAACCTGCTCGGAATCGACGATACTCAACAATTACTCCAATGATAGAATATATGTTGAGTTTCCTCAGCCGGAGCTCACGAGTTTCTTAACTGCACTATGGAAATTTACACACAACTATGGGCATGAAACGCATGAAATTTAGCAATAATTTCCCGATAACACAGTTAGTTGACCATATTCATATTTTCCAACACTGAACTCAATACTCCTCATCACAAGCCAGAACTGCGAGCCTAACGCGTCGAAAAGACGCGTCATAAAACTGCTCTTTTGCGTACAGTTTTCACCATACCAAAAAGTACTAACAAAATATTCACTGATCATTTTCCCACCTCAATTTGCATCTTCTCCCTCCACCTCGACGCCCTCGTTCTTCCTTCGCGACGATCCACAACTTCAACAGGTCGAGTATAATAACTAACAGCGTTGATACCCTCTCCAGCTTGGCCCTTCCACGCGTATCTTCCTCCAGCCTTCTCACACAACCTACAGGTCTTGAAGTGCCTTGGCCAATAACGGTTGAGACATTGTCGGCAGTAGTGAATGTCGTGAACACGATGGAGATGACCCTGGCGACTCTTCTCTTCACGCCCTCGGAGTTTACGTACATATTTATCACTTCGAGCGTCTTGTATACCGAAAGAGTCCTCAGCAATACTCCTACAAGAATCTGATATTCTTTCGCTGCCAGCTTTGGTACTTGTAGTAGAAGTCGACCTCTTGCGCACCTTACCAAGGGAAGGGGCGGCTTGGGTGAAAGCAACGCTCAAGGACACCATAGGGGCTCCCATAAGAGCTCCTCTGTAGGTCTCAGTAGAGGCATAAAGCAGCTGCCACTCGCTGACAGGTATCGGAGAAATATCCTCTAGGATGTTAAAGTCGCCCTCGTCGAAGTCGCTAACCTCACCAAGATCCCCGCCGGCTGTGCTCGAGGCGTTGGACATGTTCAAGATGAAGATTTGAATCGAATCTCGCACTGCAAAGAAACGTTGAGGAAATGCAAGACTTCAAGATTTGCGCATGCGTGCTCATCTGAAGTGAATTATGAACATACTCCAATGGCCAACTTCTGAGTGTAGTTGTTTTAGCAAATTTTCGATCGGTATACTTTTCGCACATCCACTGTTTTTACGGAAAATTCATTTCCCGTAAATTTCTCGATTATCAAAAAATTTCTATTTTGGTTTTAAGCTTTTTATCGTGAAAATTCCCTTCCCTACGAGAAAGTCCGAAAAATGTATTTTCCCAGGAATTAATGCAGTGGAAATCATGAAAAAAAAGTAGAATTTTCATGATGTGGAACAAATTCCAATAATTTTCCCGCAAATTCTAAAGTTTTTTCCCGAAAAGTATTTATCGGCAGAATAATTTCAACCTAATTCGCCGGCAGCCAACAGCAACCGCTCGATTTCAGTTTTCCATAACGTATCTTTTTCTCCGTCGGATCCTATGGTGAATCTCAGATTCTTCAGAGTGCGCGGAGGTATGAAAAAAATTCCGAATTTTCCGGAAAAAAATTTTCCAATTAAAATGGGCACTAATCGGACCTCATTCGTATCTTTCATTCACCAACCTCCATAATATCCTATAGGATACTACTTCATCCTTTTCAATGGCAACTCCGAAGATAAGAGGATCGACAGACGCCGAGTTGGAGTTCCTCAGATTACTAGTCGCTGGTAGTAATTATAGAAATATATTTTCGCTTTCCTCAGCTATTGAACTTATAAAATACAATTCTAAATATTATAATGCTACAGAGCGAAAAGGAATAGGGAATAGGGAATAGGAATAGCGTAGGAATAATGCTACAGAGGAATAATTATAACTACTACCAGAAAACAGTGTTGTAGGAATATGTGTTCGCTTTCCTCAGCTACTGAGCTTATAAAATACAATTATAAATATTGTAACGTTACAACTCATCAAAGGGAATTCATTTTCAGCTACTACCAGAAAACTGTGTTGGAGTAGGAATATATATTCGCTTTCCTCAGCTACTGAGCTCAGGAGTTTACATACGAATTCGAGTAGTAGAAGTGCAGTAGAGAAACCAACGAGAATTTTCTTTCAGAATTTTCATAGTGTCAGTTGAACACATGCATAGTTGACGTACGAATTGCATTGAAACCAACGAGAATTTAAACCAACGAAAATTCTCACAATTTTTTCATATTTTCTCCAACACGCGTAGAGTGTGAACCAAACATTTTTGCATATCTATTTTCTCGAGATGGCTTCACTTCGAAATATCAATTATAGACTACGAAACGTTTTTAGAGCAATCGATTGACATTGAAGTTTCACCCTAGTGATATGAAAAACACTATTGAAAAATACAGTGCATGCCAATTTGATATGCAAATGTGTGGTGTTAATTTCCGAGATTAATGAGAATCAATGTGAAACTATATCGCATATACAATGTTACAATGGCTATGAACATGTGTTGTGATGAGAGTACCCGTTTGGAACTGTTCACTATAATTTGTCCTCCAAAGTAACACACATTTGCATATCAAATTCACATGTACTGTATATTTCACGACTACTGCATATTATCGCGAATATCGCGTTTTTCACTTCACGTAAAACGGGTCGTGAAACTCCATTGTTATTCAAAATTGAAAATATTACTTTTCCACGATTCGGTTCACACTTCGAATGATCATATGCGTTTACGTTTCCTATGGTAGATAAAACTGGTCGGACATCTCTCGTCCACTCAAAGGCTCGCGATGCGATCTTGAGAAGAGCAAATACGGTACCAAAACTCATACCATTTATCAATCAACGAACGGCGACTTTAACGGAGGTGGGTGGTATGGCACAGGTTCGATCCCCGGTGAGGGCATTTTTACCAGATTTCCCACGCGGCTCACTTGGCTGCATTTCTTCGATCTGCATCTAAAGCGACGGACCCTGGAGGAAAGGCAACTACGGCGTAGGTTTTCCGCAAATTTTGCGAAAAAATTTTTTTTTCGCGAAGATATTTGGACGTATTGCTGATGTCGCAAGAAACCCCAGGAGTCTTGGAAGCATTTGATACTACTGGAGCTGGTCTCGATGCGTTGTTATACGTACCTAATCCGTATCTTACCAGCTCAACCTAAAGATATGCTTAGATACTTTCCCTGGCTGATACCATGCCCGGCTCAGCAACTTCTCGCGCGCTGTTATCACTTCAACTTTTGCTGAATTTACGGCTGAAAAAATCAAACTCATTGAATGTCGCCGACCAAGAACGAGTTACCGCAGTTTTGGAAGATCTTCGCACAGTAAAGAAAGTTGCGGAAAATCCGGATGTAATATTAGAAAAAATTTTGGTGAAAAATATTTGAGTTTTTTCCCATGGGGTCATGAACGTATTTGAATTTTCGAAAAATCGTAAAAAAATTTTAGGTGTATTTTTTGCCAATTTTTTTGTAATAAAAAAGAGGAATCTTTTCTTACGAATCCTGACAAAAAATTTCACTTTTTTTCGCATGAGAGATAACCAGGTTGCCTCGCGTAAGATGAAATGCACGTATTTGAAATTTCCGAAAAAATTGTGAAAAACATCAACTTTTTTGTGACATTTCCGAGCAAAAGAAATATTTTCTCCTGAAACCTGTCAAAAAATGAGAAAAAAATCACGAAAAAATAAGGCGGAAAATTACGGGAAATTTAGTTTTTTTCCTCGCGTAAGATTCAAATCAGGTCGAATCGGAGTCGGAAGCCTGCCGGAAGATTCTCGCGAGGTTTTCTGCTACTCCGACCGGCTCGGTAGTGGACTTGAGGTCGCCTCCTGCAGCAAATGATGTTAATGAAGCTCATCGGGTGTTTGATACTCCAACGGGGACGCCGCCGCCTCCACCGCCGCGAACCCCACCAGCTAGAATAGGCACAGGTTCGTTTCTCTGGAGAGAGAAAATTCTGGAAAAAAATGATTTTTTTAGGAAAAATTTGGAGAAAATAGGTTTTTTTTTGGAATTAATAAAATTTAGGAAAAAATAGAAAATTTTCTGAATTGAAAGAATGATTGTATTAATTTTCTAAAGGTTTTTTATAATTTAAATTTTCTATCAGCAACTCGAAAATTTTGAAAATGAAAATTTTCTATTAGCAACTCGAAAATTTTGAAAATGAAAATTTTGTAACGGTAACTCGCAAGTTTTGAAAATGATATTTTTCTGTCAGGAACTCCTCCGATGCCCTCCAGTTGGAGTTCATCAGCTTGGTCCAGTCGGCCTCCGAGTATTCAACCGCCGCCTCCTCCTCCTCCACCTCCTCCTGCTAGTGGGGAAGCCGATGATCCTCTACCGAGACCACGGCAGAGGTCGTTAAGTCGTCATAAGGATGAAGTTGAAAGTGAAAAACTTGATAGAACAGATTCCAACGCGACGAGCGAAAACGCGAGGAAAAGGTGGGAAATATGCACAAGTTTTGGTGAGAATGAGAAAATTCTGGGAAAATTTTGGGAAATTTTTTATTAATTTCTGCGCAATTTTACCCGAATTCGTATGTAAATTGTTTTTGAGTAAGCTTTTGATTTCAGCTGAGGCGAACAAACATATTTCAACTAGGCTGAGGACTTTTCCCGAAAAAATAATAGAAATTTTTTCCGCCCGGTTTTTCAACTTTTTCAGAAAAAAATAGAAATTACCATTGATCAGGTCGTATTCGACCGACACGAGTGGTACTTCGGACGCCTCACCAGTGAAAAAGATGAGGAGTGTGCGAGAATATCGGTCGCAGAAAAGGGGTGGAAACGATAGACAGTCGTTGTTAAGGAGCCTTCACCACACGCAGGAGTATCGAAAATTCGACAAGTTCCTTAAGGATGAAGTTTATCGCCTCACGCAGGTGCATATACGAAAGTACGTTGGGTTGTTTTTTTTCCGGAAAAAAGGCGGGTAATTCTTTTCCTTGAATTTTTTGGGGTTTTTTTTTGCGAAATCGCATGTTTTTGAGGCTGTCGAGATTCCCGTTTTACCGTCCAGATCGAATCCAGAGATGTGCGATCACGACGAGGACGAAGCCCCCGAGTGGCGACGAGTGGCTAAGGCGATATCGCAGACTCTCATGGAAAAGGAGCTCAGGTGAGTTCAGAGAGGGAATTAGCATTGAGAAATTACATTCCCCCCCAGGGTTGGATAACAATGGGGAGAATGTTACTAATGTTATGACTTCATTTACTGATTGAAGAATGTGTTCCTAGCCATACTTGCAAAATTCAAAATGAGTATCACCCGGCAACATTTATGGACCTACGGCGTTTCGGTGGACAGCCCAACTTCTTATCAGGTTGGACTCAGTTGTTCGTTTTAATCTATCGAGTGACGGGTTGAAGGACTCGGCAATGAAGAGAATCCAAGGCTATTGTAGCAGTTATTTAAACCGTAAATTTCCTCTACGGTGATGATCGTATCAGAGACCGCGTTGCTTTATCCGTGATATTATTATAGTATTTCTACTATCACCCTTTTTCTCGAGTTGTACGCAAGAAAACAAAACCATGTGTCAAACGGTCACATGTGTATGCGTGCATCTGAGCAGTCTTATTGCGACTGATGTTCACCTAATACGGCAAATGCGGGAAAATGGGAGAAATGGGAAAATAGCAGGAGAATGGCGGAACAGGAGCCGAGTTCGCTACATAATGAGAAAGGGAAGGAGTTCAGGGGTCCAACGCCGCCTACTTCGCACCACCAGAAAAGTAGGTTCCCTCATGCCACGAAGTCAGGCACTGATCTTGCGCACCTCTCGCATAGCCACATCATCGTATTTGTTGTTGCGTATTGTGGACAAAATATATAAGTTTTTTTCCTTCATTAGTGGGACAAGTTACTTGATCATATATGAAGTTCACTTCGGTTCGGAAACTTATTAGTTATAATCAACTCGAGTTACCTCTTTGCCCAGTCTATTCTGATTGTCGGTAAGTTGGGCCGTTTCGTAGGTCAGATTTCATGTAGGCCGTTTTTCCTTCTCCTCGGCGGAGCTCTGCCTAGGTTGTTCCTGATAGAAACTTCTTGCAATGGCGTTGATATACTCAAGTAGCTCGCCTCACGAGAACGTCAACGACCGAGCGCGCTGAATCGACACGGCCGATGACTGATCGATCAGGTGGGCCGCCCACCGTGGAGGAGCGTGGATGCGTGAACGCAGATATTCTGAGGAAAAGTCTGGAAAACTCCCATCAAGAAACTTTTGCTAGGAAGGTCGGGAAACAAGGGGGTCGCTCAACTAACCGTTTTATGGCCACCTTATACAAAGTTCCATTTTAGCGGGAGTCCCGCTGCGGGACTCAGCTCCGCGCCGAGAGCTGCAGGTCAGCTGACAGTGTCAGCCTGACTGTCAGGCTGTGTCAGGCCCTGATACCATGTCGGCTCGGACGCATGCCGAATCGCGCGAAAAGCGAGAGCCTTCTTTTGAAGATAGCCGTCGAATCGACGGCGTCAAGATACTGACGTGTTGGACCTGAAATCCTGAAATCGGGTTTTTTTTGAGGAAGCCTAATGCAATGGTGATGCCGAGGTCGAGTGAATGAATGGTTACATACGCGAAGTGACCACAAGTCCCGAAAAGGGTGTCTTTTCATAACTTAATTTCTTCTGAGAAAGGTAATAAGGATAAGTTATCCTCATTAATAAGATACTCGTAGACTACGAGTATGGGAAGATCAGCATGGCTGCATGGGAAAGGCTCTTTCCGAAAGGGGTTGCTCAACAGTTTCGCAGACGTTCTCATGGGTGCTTCTCTATCATTGTCGGATAAGGACGTGATTTAGGGATGCTTATTGGAAGCCTACATCCTCTTCAAGCACGAAGTCCCCCATAGTATGGTATATGATAAACTACTTTTTGCTTGCGCTGGCGGAACAGACACTCAACTATGGGAGTGGCTGCACAGTCGCCCGAATAACGCTTTGTATACCTCAAGAACAATCAGTACTCAATATCTTGAATCTCCCGGACGGGTAGTGCCGAAAATTATGCTCAGAGAATGGCGCATTTGGCATCCTCGCTGATGAATACACGGGTTTATGTTGTGTGACCCAACTCGCTGTGCATCTGCGAGTGATTGATGGTAGTGGTGGTATAAGAGAGTCATTTATCACGTTGGTGCCTTTGGAGTCGGCATCCGCTAGGACCATTGCAGATGCCATAATTGAGTGTCTGGTTGAGCTCGATCTTAATGTCAAGGACCATATGGTACCCCAGACCTTCGATGGTGCCTCTGCTTTCCAAGGTTCAATAGCTGGGGCCAGGAAATTGATCAATGATCACTTCCATACCGAATGCCCAGTTCTCCACTGTAGATCTCATTCACTACAGTTGGCCTGTTCGTTTGCTGCTGAAGAATCAGGATTGGTCAGTCGACTTCTTAGCTTGGTTACTACTATCTACACATTCCATGGATGGTCACCCAAGCGATATCGGCACCTTCGAGCAGCCGCTGAGCAGATAGATATGAGAGCTAAGAAGTTGATCAATCCTAGTACTACTCGCTGGCTGAGTTTTGATGGCTCTGTGAGTGCGGTTTTATCCGATTTAGAGGCCCTCATTGAAAGCACTTATGAGCTTGGAGAAGATGATGGCGCTGGCCATCATATTTTTCTGCATCTGACTGCTGCTGGAACTCTCAAGAGCCTCTTCCTCTTGGACAATGTACTTGGTGAGCTGAGCAGCCTTTGTAGGGGGTTACAGCGAGAGGATCTCTCTTTGCTCCATTCCGTGGGAATTATTCAGCAGTCGTTGGAACGCCTCGGCAATATCCCGGATCTCGAGCAGCTCGTGAATGAAAAAAATGCTGCTATAGAGGCTCTCGGTCATGAGGTTTCCGAGAATCTCCCAACTAAGACCAATAGGAGGCAGAATCGAGATGTGAGAGGGCTTGTTGGAGAGATCATGGAATATATCCTATCGCTGAGAGAGACCATGAAAAAGAGACTATTAGATGATATTGATCCTGTTATATTTTTGTACCGAGCTTTCAGTCTCGATAAGTCTCTCCGGGATCCTGATTTCGACTTCACAGAAATTGGCCAGTTCGTGGGTATGTCAGCTAAGGAGGTGAACAATTTGGGCCATCGATGGCGCGCACAGTGCGCGGCGCACTGGCCAGAGACCCTGACTTTGATCCATTCTCGATGGTATTAGGTGATATTGAAGTCGCTCTTCATCGTAACTATAAGGTCATGTTTTCTACGGTTTGGAAGCCATGCAGACGGGTCTTAGCAATCGGTGGGGGTACGGCTGGCGCCGAGCGTACATTCAGTAGAGTTGGCAGGATTCTCTCCTTGAAGAGGTCCAATCTTACCCAACAACACCTCAATTATTTTATGGTCAGCAGTGCCAATGGACCCGATATACAACATCCTAAGCAAACATCACGTGAAGAGTGTGCTGGGCAACTGACGGGCCTGATCGTTTCTGCTTTCGAGGACTTCTGTCGGTGTCCATGCCGACTTCTTACTGTGACATCTGATGTGTGAAGTCTTTCACTAGAGATAGGCCCCAGACAACTTCTAGTGAGAAGTTATTGGTAGTAAGTTGATTAGCTGGCATTTATGCTCGTCATTGAGGGAATTCATTGCTGATAGCCAAAATATTCTTAGAATAATGAGTTTGATTCTCAATTTCATATCGTTGAGTTAAAGTTCTATACGATGTGTACTACATATATCATAGGCATATCATATAGGGATATCATATGTCGCATATATCATGCGACATATATATGGCACCCTCCTAGCCCAGGGGTGGTTATCACATACCTAGGGGGCTCCATGCTGGGGATGGCCGTGAGAATTTGGGAGGGGAAACCACCCCTGTAGAGGGGTCTAGAAACATCTTTGATTGTAGGGTGTTTCAGCACCCTACAATTCCAACAGTGATAACAATTATCACAACAATATAAGATCATCTTGGCATCGGTCAATTCTGCCTGAAATGCGCTAAAAACGGCATTTTTCACGTAAATTTTCGAAGTTTTCGTGAATTTTCGGAAAGCATGAAAATTTGAAAATTTTCGTGAAATATGAGAATGGAAATCGGTGAAAAATTGTGAAAACCGAAAACCCTACCACTGAGATGGTACTCTGAGAGCGGATAGGACTCCTACTATAGGAGCATGTTCCTCAGGAACAATGAATTTCTACAAAGAACTCCACCGTGCCTGTCTGCATTGTACTTTCTATCCTACGTGATGTTGTCATCATCTGTATGATACCAATGGTGTCCTCCTCGTTACGAGGACCTCGTACATGCATGCTTGTGCCGCGGACAAGAGCTATCTCTCTGGCGAACTCAGTTAGTAGTGCAAAAGAGTCTGATGAATAATTCACCTATGAATTTCATCATGAATTCTGATATTGTGTGAGTACTGATCCAGCTAGAATTCATTCCTATGCTGGTGCCTTTCTTATATCAGCCTAGCTCACAGCCACCGCTAGGCCAAGATGGACGCTGAGTAGCACAACTAGGCCTTCCCGGAGAAGGGGCGGAGCTCGGCATCCGGGTTCGATTCCCATGCCTGGCGTTTTTCTGCAAAAATATGTTTTTTGCACGGAAATCTACATGGTCCGGGCGGAACCCTAATTTCGTATTTTTCCTAGTATCCCCAGAGCGAGAGCTATCGAGTGGTGTATAGCATGTGATCATAACCTCTCTAGATCGAGCTGGATAATTTGTTCGCACGCACGCACGCACGCACGCACAAAGTGTTAGTAAAGTGAGAGAATACGCTCCGCTCGCTTCGCTCGCTCCGCAATTTTTGTGGTTTCCGTCAATGGCATGTGATGGTCAACCTGGTTGACTCAACCCGTATCGGTCTGAGATGCACCTGTTGATGTCCGGTGCCTCCTGTCGTTCCCTAAGGGAACTTACCTTGTGTCAACACGACCCGACATTAGCTGGGGAGATGTGACCCAAACGTACACTGAGACCTTGAGCCGAGATGGTTACGGACTTAGGAGCTAGTAACGCTCAATGCTCAAGATCAATAGTACGGAATGTATCCTATCCTCACACTTGTACGCAAGCACAAGGAGAAAGTCTGTACGCATGTACGAAAAGATGAGGCTCTCTGCCGCACAGACTGGTCGAGCATCAATAGCACCCCTTAATCGCGAAATGGCGTTAAACGCGGTAGAAAAATCGCGGACACCGCGAACTGGTGATCGACTTCATTACACCCGATGTAATACGTAGCGAAAAAACGTTATTGAAGGCCGCCTTCTGGAGACCTACTACATTTATGACGGTACTTGACATCGTCTAGTATTATGATACGTGTTGAGCGTACGAGTCTCTTGCGTCCTCGACAAACGAGCCACATACGTACGTCAGTGACGTAACGTCACGACCAATGGTGGAAATGGAAGCGTCTAAGACACAACCTCTTTCGAGACAGGTTCTTGAATATGACCGTGTCGGTCACCTACCTTCTGAACACGACATGCTTACGTAAGAAATCCTATACTTACTCTCCTCACATATGCTTGACAATTAAGGATATTGGAACTATGTGAGCTAAGCCAACGCCGTGAAGTTGGTCTCAAGTTGAGACTCTCAACCAACCTCATGAATCGTTCGATGGCTGAATGCATATAAGTGAGATAAAAGAACACAGGTGAGCTACCCTGTGCTAGGGGAAATCCGTAGTAAATGAGCAGGGGGCATTGTCATGGATCGTAGACCATGCACCGATCAAAGAACAATGAGGGAATCGAATGCATAGAACCTATGTCCAATACCAAGATACAGTTCCGGACTTCATGTCCAGGACATGCGATCTATTCTGTGACCCTGAGTAATTGACACTCACCCTGTGGTGAAAAAATAACGATCAGACACCAGTCAATTCATGGCTGGAGTCCCCGCAAGGACCATATCGTTTATGCCACAATCCCCTTGGGCTATTTTGAAGGTGCCGTGAACACCCCATCCTTCATTCCAGGAGTTCATGACCAGCCAGTAATCAACGCCCTGCTTGGTACCCCAGCCGATGATCTCAACACCGTGTTCACCCATGAGGGTGCCGCTCGTGTGCTTGTAGACGCCTGACTCGTATGACAGGAAGTCGTCATACATAGAGAATGCAGCCGATGTCTGATTGGACATATATACTGCTCAACTGGAAGAAAACTGGTCATACTGGGCCATTGGTCATGATCTCTTTCTTGATATTGTCTGTCCCCTTGAGCTGATAGGGTGAGAAATGTGCGGTGAAGTGACGATCTCTTGAGACGATGAATTATGATGTATTACTATCAATCACAACTCACTTGTCCAGCGGAGTTCCGTAATTTTTATTGGGACAGCGGTCCAAGCACGGAGGGGTGTCGTAATTTTTCTAATGGATAGGAGCCTCAGGACCACGCTAGTGTCGCTACCCTGAGGGTAGTAATCTCACCTCCGGACATGGCTGGTATTTGGAATCTTGCTGATGGTGACCACATTTTGGGAAGTTGTACGGCCAACAACCATCGGCTGCGCTCATGCTCCCTTCTGGAACGAAATCTCCACCTGAATGTGGGTAACCGCTCAGAAAATCACTAAGTGGTAAGTTACCACTGGTAACGGTTGACCTACCGGTGGCGATACCGTACACGTTGAGGAAGGACCAAGCTGCGTCGGGTCTGCCTTTGGTACAGCCGTCACAACTGACATCAACTTCAGGTTTGGAAATCAAACTTTAGGTGGCCGAGGAAGTCTGGACGGGTCTCACTTGCAAGAGTGCGCTGAGTTACAGCACGCGAGCATCTCGCCAGCAGAGAGTAGTTGGTTGAACTTCCCCCCCCGATTTGATGCAAAGACGGGCATTGAATGCCTCAACTGGCGCAATCGCCCAGCAGCTTCCACAAGCCGACTGATCCCTGCAAAGAAGGAACATGTTAGCATCGCCACGGCAACTCTCTAGCGCTAACGGATGTCAGCTACCAGACATGGCCGATGACGTCCTTGCACTCCTTGAACGCATCGCGGGCATCGAAGCTATTCGGAATGTCAGCAAGCTCCCCTGGTGGATAGACCTTCTCCTCGAGCCCCTCAGCCTCCTCAAGGAGTGTTCCGCAAAGCTTCTTGGCATCACCGAGAGAATGACCTTGAAGTTGGTCGTCAACAAATTCATTCATACAGCTCTCGATGAGGCCCTGACCAGCCTACCGTAGAATCTCTCTTGGTCAGTGGACGCCGTCCATAGATTCTGTTCGGAGTTGATCTCGTCCACGAGACTTTGCATGATGGCTGGCCTTGTGTCCTCATACAGCTCTGCCAGCTGGTTGGGGGACAACGGCACATTCTTGGCTTGTAGCTCTTCCTCGAATCGACTGAAATGCTGAAACTCCTCTTCAGGAGTGTACACTAAGTCTGAAGTTCAATTCGTAGAGCGGACGCCAGTTGAGTTTGACCTCACTCTTCTGAGTCTTTAGATTGTCGAAGATACTCCTTGAACCTCCATCAAGTAGAGGTGATGCTACAGGGAGCAGCCACGTAATGATGGCGCAAAGCAT